TCAATTCCCTAAATTAGTAGCACCAAAAAACATAGCTTCAAAATATGTAAAGCAAAAACTGATGGAACTAAGAGGAGAAATAATCAAATCTGCAATCTTAATTATCTATATACTAGAAAAATACAAATAGAAGTGGAAATTTTTAAAAAGATACCATTTATATTATCATAAAACATCAAGTACCTAGGACTAAATCTAAAGGAAGATACGAATGACCACGACAGAAAGCTACAAAACAACACCAAGAGCGTTACAACCCTAAGTAAATGGAGAGGACGTAGTGTGGTCATGGGTTAGAATTCTTACGTGTAGAAGAATTCAAAGAATTATTTTGTAGGAACTGAATTAGAGTGAGGAAAGGTGGAGCAGGGAAATGCTTTTTTTTTTTAAAAACCATGAGAAGAATTTGGCTTTTTAAAACTATGTACATATATTTCTCTGTTAAAATAGAGTAGATGGGCTTTGTGACCTTTGTGACTGCGTTTGTAGCATTTTCTTCCTGATTCTTGATTCCTATGCTGGATATTTGTGGTGCTTCCATGGTACCTCCTGCTTATTCCTATCACAGAACTTAGAATGTATAATTCTTGTCGGTTTCCTGTATTATTACCCCCACAGGACTAAAACTTTTTGAAGCAGGCACTATATCTTGCTCGATATTGTATCCTCCATATTTATCAGTTTCTAGCATGGCTGAGATGTATCCCGTGCTCAATATTTGAATGAATGAATTGAAATGAGTTAAGTATGTGCAGTAAGCTGAATGTGACCCCCAATGATATCCAGATCCTAATCCCTGGAACCTGTGTATGTTACCTTATATGGCAAAAGGTAACCTGTGTATGTTACCTTATATGACTTTGCAGATGTGATTAAGTTCAGGATCTTGAGATGAGGAGATTATACTGGATTATATGGATGGGACCTAAATGCAATCATAAGTATCCACATAAGAGGCAGACCGAGGGAGATTTGACATAGAAGAACGTAATGTGACCACTGAAGCAAGCTGGCTTTGAAGATAGAGGAAGGGGCCGCCTGAGCCAAGGAATTTAAGGAATGCGGCTCTAGAAGCTGGAAAAGGCAAGGAAACAGATTCTCTTAGAGCCTTCCAGGGGTTCACAGCCCTACCAGAACCTTGATTTTGGCCCATTGAAACTGACTTGGGACTTCTAACCTCCAGATCTGCAAGACAATAAATGCGTGTTGTTTGAAGCTCCCAAGTTTGTGGTAATTTGTTACAGCAGCAATAGGAAACAATATGTGAGTTCTAATAGGTGTGTAAGTTCTCAGTTCTGTAAATATTTCAAGAAACCATATTGTCCCTCTCACTGAGGGCAATGCCTACTACATTTCTGGGACCCAAGATCTTTTACACTGTCTTGTCCACTTCCCATCATCAAACGAGCTGCCTCTTGTTTTTATTTTGATATTCCTGGTTGAGGTTAGATAAGATCATTACTTTTGAGCAATACCAAGGGAACCTACTTAAGTAATTCAAGAACAATTTATTAAGTACCTGTCATTTATTAGGTACTGTAGTACTAGGCCTTGAGTACTATATCCTTTTGTACTAGGATATAAAAGTTGAAGGAGTTAGCCTCATCTGGAGGTGAGGTGAATATTTCCTGTGGAAATGATGTTTAGATTGAGCCTTGAACCGTAAGTAAGAATGTCAAGTGAAGGAAAGTGAAAGATGTGCCAAGCAGAGGGGGTGAATGCATATGAATTAGGAGATTTATGAGAGAAGAGCCTGGAGAGAGTTTGGGATGGTATCATTGAGGAGGGATTTAAAGGAGAAAATGGATGGATGGATGGAAGGATAGACAAATGGATAGACATTCAGGCAGATAAGTATAAAGACAGAGGCAGAATCAGAAAGGACAGCCATGTGCTGAAGATAGAGCTTTGAGAAACACTCACATTATAAAGAGAGGCCAGAGGATGAGCCACAAAGGAGACCCAGGAGGAAAGACCTGGGAAATAGGATAGTTCCCTCTGAAAGGAGATGTCCTAGAAGTCTAGGAAGTGGAGGGTCCCAACTCAAAGTGGGTGGCCAACAGTGCCAAACACGGCAGACAGGTCTGCTAAGACAAAGACTGAAAGGCGGTTCTTGGATTTGGCGACAGGATGCCATGGAGATCTTGAGCAGAGCGGTGGAGTGGAAGAAAGTGTGAGATGGGTTGAGGACTAAGTAGTGGTTGAGACAACGGGAGGAGAGAGAGTGATTACTTGAGGAATAGTACTCTCACTGACAGGCAGTGGAGGTAAAACTCTGCTGGGGGGAGTGAAATGGTCACGACTCGTGTCTGTGCCCAAGACCCATCCATTTGGGAAGACCACTAGCTCCTCCTCCCATTGACCTTCTTTTTCCTCCCCAATTTTTAAAAGTGAAGGTATACTTTACATACATCAAAATTCACTCTTTTTAAGCCTAGAGTTCTCAGACTTTTGACAAATGAATATGGTGCATAACCACCGCCACGATCAAGATGCGGGATAGCTCAATCACCCCAGGAAATTCCCCTGTAGTCAATCCCTGCCCCTGCCACCACCCCCTGGCTGCGGCGGGTCTGTCTTCTGTCCCTATAGCACCTGCTAAGTGTGAGAGCAGCACACACGTTAAGATTTTTAGTTGTCAGGTATTAGAATTAATGATTTGATTCATTTAATCTGGCTCTCAATTATACCATAGAAAGGGGTTTTGTTTATTTGTTCACTCTTTTTCTCCCTAAAACAATTTGAAGGCCTTTTGATTCATGTCAAGGGATTCATCAAATGCCTAACAGAAAATTGATTTGAGCTTTTTTTGCAAGTAACTTCTTGAAAAGGATTCTAAGAAGGAAGCTTGTGCCTGATAATTGGGTATGTTTTAGTGCACTTTCTGAATATTTTTCTGAAAAATGCATCAGGCTTATGATGAGGAACTCATTGAGATAAAAATGAAAGCTCTTGTCAGGACAGTTACTAACTGAAACTAAGAAAATTCTAACCTGATTTAATTTTAAGTTTAAAGATGCATTTTCTATAGAATCTAGTATAATCCCGTGGGTGTAATAGTCACTAATGCCAACTTAAAGAAGTAATAAAATGATAATGTACCAGGTAGTCTGAAGTAGGCAATTAACTTGGAGTCTCTGTTTTCATTGAATATTTCTAAAACTGTTGATTAAAGCCACAAATAACTGCTTCTGGATCAGCTCTCAATCCCGTACCTTTTTTTCAATGTATGTTTAATTTCACTGGTGGTGTTCATGTTTGTAACAGTTAACCAGCCTGTTACATAATTTATCCAAGAAACGAGTTACCCATGAAAAACAAAGGCTTGTTTCCTATTGTGTAAGTCCAGGACTAAGTCAGTAGTTCACCTTTCAGCCCCTAAAATAGTTGACTTGCTGCTTCTGGCCCTGACTGGCTCTAAAGGGAAATAATGTCATTGTTAATCTCATTTGGTTGCAGGAAGTAAAGAAGTTAATGATCTGCCCCTTCAAGATCTAGCCCGTGTTCATTAGTGGTTTAGAGGGGCTCTGAGTGGGGCAGTGCTATTTTCCTTTGTTGAACTCATCTTGTTTTCTACTTTCTGAATAACGTTTCTTATTCCTTCAAAAATCATTGTAGCGGAAAATGTTAGCGTAACCCAAAGCCTTTGGAATACCTGTGGTTTTCTTCAAGCTTATAAATGTCCAATATAGTTCCTTTTAACTAAAAACTACAAGTCAGGAACGATTAGCCAAAACCAATAAGGTGACATTCAAAAGGGATAAATGTGGTTTTGCATGTAGGCTGAAAAAAACTGATTTTATAAAAGTATACGCCCTGGAGAACTGACCTGGCAGAGTTCATTAAGAAGTAAATGAATAACCCCTGGGGATTTGCCTTTACCACCTGCTCTGCATGGACTGTTGGGGTGATGGGGCTGCTAAAAATAGAAAAGCTGCACGAATAGACTAGACGTTGGGGTAATTGCTCCCTCTATTTTGTATGGGTGGGACCACATTTGAGTGTTGTGTTAAGTTTGAGTCCTTTCAGAAGACAACACTTAAAAAGTTTGGTTGCAGTGAAGCATGTTGACGTCTTTTAGCAGAGCTCACTCACAGGAAACCTCGTCCCGCAGTCCAGAGGGATTGCTCACGAAGTAAGGAGCTTTCTGTCATTGGCAGAGTTCAGACTAGAATATTTTTCATGGGTGGGGATTTTTTCTGGACTGTGACCCCACTGCGAGACAGTGCCTGGCACATAATTGTTGAGTGTATGAATAAGAGACTCTTAGGAAGAGTGTCCTCAGGAGTTCCTGTCCTAGATGGACAGGAGGGCCTCATGGGTCCCTTCCTACTGTGAGATTGTGTGAGTTTAGATCCATCAGGACTAGTGATTTTATGTGAAAGAAATGATTAGCTGCTAACATAGTAAACTAAGTTATAGTATTAGTAGATATAATTTGACCTCAGCAATGAGTGTTTTCTGTCTGTTGCCAAGTTTTGCTTTAGACTGTTAGGTGCTTTAGTGATGTTGTAATGAAAGGGTGATCTTTGCCACTCCAGTTTGCCAGATTAATCTGGCTAGTCTGAGTGGCTAGTTAGGTCACCTCTAGTACCCTCATTCCATCAAAGAAGGTGCCCTTCCAAGATGGGAGAAAACTGTTCAGTAATGGTTCTTCAAGTAGCTAGGCTCCTCTTTTGACAATTTCCAAGAATGACCACACACTCTTTCCCATGGTGCTGTTCACCTAATAACCAAAATCACAGCTTTGGGGCAGGCAGAGGGGAGGAGGGCTCTTGCTGCTTGTGAGCTGGTAGAAAGCAGAATGAGAGAAGGAAGTAATAGAAAATGAGATGTAAAAGTACATCTGATTCGGAAACAAAAAATTCTGATCAAACGCAGTTGGGAGAATCGTGTACACAGAGCAGGGTGACATTTCTTCAGAGATTTGATACACGGGTAAAAGATAGCCATCCTGTGCTTTGTTCTTTCTTTGATGCCACCCCTCTCTTCCGTTATAGAGCACCAGAACTACTTTGGAATAGATGAAAACCTTGGCCCTGTGGCACTCAGCATCCGGAGAGAGAAGGTGGAAGATGCCAAGGAGAAAGAAGGGTCCCAGTTCAACTACCGAGTGGCTTTCAGGACGAGTGAGGTAATGTGTTGTTATTGTCCTGAGCTGAAGCCTTTGATGTTACTGCTTTAGGTTGTTTCAGATAAGGTATTGCGTTTATTTTTTAATGTTAATGGTTGCAATATTTAAGATCATTGAAAGGGCCTGCAGTATTTTATTCCAAATAAAAAATTTGAAAACCTTTCATGGATGTTAAGTGACAATGATTTTACTGCCACCTTACATGATAGAAAGGACAAAATGATAAGAATGCAAGGTTTTGGGGCTAGACTATACAATTTATATCAGATCTTAAAAATGATTTTAAAATCTAATGCAGAAAATCAGGCAACCTGCAATGGGGTGACTGTTTCTTAGTGTTTTTGCCAGTATAGTAACTCTGCCTCCCCACACTTCATTACATCACGGACCCAGATTAGTTCCTTGCGTGTCTTGCTTCAAGTGAAAAGTGAGATTGTTATGCAAATGGCATGATATGTATAGCCAAATACGTAGAGATACTGATTTATATAAAGAATTAGATCTGGCCGGCACTTTAGGTTTTATTCTCTTGACCCATTTTAATTAGAGGGGATTATATTTGGCAAGTATTCCAGAATGTATAGTTTGGTTGACTACTTTCAGATCAGAGAGAGAAAAGAGAGCCCTTCGCTAGTCCCCTGCAGTCTGCATGAGCGTGCGCACCACCATGCATCTTGCCCAGTGCTCGGGTGCTCCAGTGATCTGGGATCTCTGCTGGATAAATATGAGATAAAGCCCCTCTCTTGAAGTGACATGTTTTAAGTTATAGATCTGCACTGTCCAGTTCAGTAGCCATCAGCCACATGTGGCCATTTAAATTTAAAGTAATTAAATAAAATTAAAAATGTAGTTCCTCAGTCATACTAGTCACACATCAAGTGCTCAGTAGCCACATGTGGCTAGTGGCTCCCATATTAGACAGTGCAGATAGAGGACACTGTCATCACTGCAGAAAGTTCTGTTGGACAGTGGTGTTACAGAGCATTATGCAAACATCAGGCATGGTTGTTACCACCATCGCCACAACTGCTTTGTTATTATGCTAACAACTCTCTTCCCAGAGTGGGAGGGATGGGATTAGAACCAGGTCTCCTGATTTCCGGTACTGGGGGTTTCTTCTCTCATCATATTAGATCTGAGGCATGTGTCAGAATGGTGATGCCATGCTTTCATGACATATTTGAGGACATATCACAAATCATGAGGCAGAATGAAGTGGTAGTCTTCTCAGCCCTGAGTCACCCTGCCCCTTGGTGTCACTGATCTCCTCATTCAGCTTTGGGAATTGTCAGCACTGGAAAGTTAAATAGAAGAAGAGAAGGGAGTAGCAGAAGAGAAGATGATGTCGAGAAATAGGGAAATAGGAAAAAGAAAAGGGAAGGATGGGAGGAAAGTGATTATGGCCAGGCCCAGCCTCATAATCCCTAATTTCTCCTCAATGTCCTTCTCACGTTGGTTCCAAGAGTTAAAGGAATGTCTTTATTTCCTGTAAGATTGCTTTATCTCACTCCTTCTCATTCTTTAGGCACATATCTGATTATTTCAGCCCTGCCTGGCTTGTTCCTGATACCTGTATACTTTTGTTGTTTAAAGACTATTTGAGTGTTGGTTTTGCCTCTTCAGATTGAGAACTTTAGTCTCTTCTGCTCCACTCGGAGAAGAGACTTAACTTTCTTCCTCTTTCATAATATTAATTGAAGTCTTATATTTTGCCCCTGCAGCTTACAACGCTGAGAGGAGCAATTTTAGAAGATGCTATACCCTCTACGGCTAGGCATGGTACCGCACGAGGACTACCTCTCAAAGAAGTTCTGGAATATGTCATTCCAGAGCTAAGCATTCAGTGCCTGAGACAGGCTTCGAACTCACCCAAGGTCTCGGAGCAACTGCTCAAGCTTGATGAACAAGGGGTGTGTATAATGTGTGAGACTCTAAGTTTGTGCGTGACTTTCTGTCTGTGTTTCTAAATGTTTTGGTTTTTTTTCCATCCATCTTTCTTTTAAGGTCATTTATTTTTAATGCCTTGAAGCATTTTCTCTCTAGTTTTTCCCAAATATGATTCTATACTAGTTAAGGAACATGATGCCTTTATAGTGTAATACACCCCCTGCTGAGTTGTGGCTTGTGTTGTTTTTACCAAGGTTTTGGTTATGTCCCAGCTAGCAAGAGCACTTTTGATTCGTGATTATTAGAGGTCGCTGATATTTCTTTCCAGGATTTAAAAGACTCCCGTTGACCCTTTCCCTGAGCTAACATTTATTGTCTACTGTATGTAAAGCATCATACTAACAGATTGGGAGTGAACAGCATGCATTAAGAAGGTTGACGCTGACTAAGACCTAGTCCCTAGCCCATGGGGACAGTAAGACCAGGAGCACAGAGGTCTCTACAGGGCAGAATATGGTAATGGGTCTTGGAGAGGCATCAGTGCAGTGAGTGCTTGGGGAAAGGAAGAAGAGTAACATCTGGCAGGGCAAATCTCCTGAAGGAGGTGCTGTTGTAACTGGGCCTTTTGACTTGGGTAGAATTCCAAGAGGGAGATCTGAGCAGTTGCTGTTTTAGGAACCATGACTTGTTTCTTTATAAGAAAGGGGTACACATAGAGAGATTGGGAGTTTGAAAAAAAAACAAAGCATATTGAGGCTAGAGCATACGAGACCTTGAATGCTAGCTGAGGAGCATGCACTTGATTCGGGAGGCAGTAGGGAGCCATGGCAGTTTCTCCAGTGGGACGTGGCATTATCAGAGCTGTGTTTTAGGAAGATTATTGTGGTAGAAGGGAATTGGACAGGCTGGTGAAGATGGAGACTGATGGTGGCCTGGAGCTCAATTATGTGACTACTGACATCAACCAGGAGAGAATTAATGATGGACAGGATTGGGATGGTGGCCCAGAAGATGGAAAGAGGTCTTTTAAGTTTCACATGCAAGATAACTTATAGGGGAAACTGAGAGGTAGGTGCCCAAATGTATGCAATTTATTTTAAATGAGTAGATTTGTTTTTAAATGCATGCTTAACAAAAAAAAAAAAAACAAAAACAGTAGTGATGTATATTTCCAGAATATCCCAAGGAAAATTCTTCTGCATATTTTGGAGGGAATATGAGGTATTTTTTGGTTGACCCAATAATACTCATTGTAGTATGTTGGTGGACTATTTGATACTCACATGGCTGGAATTCTGAAAGTGATGAAATTGTAATTGGTCTGTCTAACAAGTTAACACTGCATTATGAGTTAAAGGAAGCAGGCACCGTAACGTTCAGAATGAATAATGCTGAGATCTCTCTGTCTCAAGAATGACATATTAAAAACGGCAACTAAACCAAACCAAAACCCTAGACTTGAGCAGTTGACTTCTAAAATCATGTGATACACAGAATAGTTTTACCGTGACCATTAACTGGTAAAGGGTATGGAATGCATGAAATGTCCATGAAGCAATTGAGGAAACTGTGTTATCATGGAGGGATAGAGAGGATGTGTCTGTGCTGGTTCAATTACTCAGAGTTCAAGCAAGATTGATTGGAGGAGCAGCACTCATTTTCATGTCGTGGGAGAGTCCGTGAAGAGAAGTTGCCACCCATGTGATAGTTCTTTGTCCTTTTGTGTTTCTAGTATATGTTGGCTCTCCTTTTGAAATATATCCCTGTACTTGCTGCACAGCAGGTGCCTTGTGGATGAGGTATTTGTCCCCTCTGCTGCTGTAGAAGATTCTATAGATAGCCCATTTTCCCCAAGCCTGAATCCTAAAGTTCTCAAGACCCTGAGAGATGTTTGCCAGCTGCTATTGACTGTCTCTTCACAAAGTGAAGCATGTATTTAGAATATCTGTATAGCAGAATAAATCCAGAAGGTATACCATACAATTTTTTAAATTAAACATTTTAAGTACTTTTATTGAACACCCATTTACAATCTGATGTCAAGGAATTAACTTTGAATATTGGGTTCTGCTTTTAAGCAAACCACTGCATTGTATTGCTCTAGCTGTATTTCATGTATTTTTTCTTTTGAGATTATATTTGTTTGACTTTGGTATTCTTTCTTAATGGTGTACAATACGGCATTTTTAACTCCCCATAACTCTTAATAGTATCGAATCCCCATATTACGTGAAGAAGAGATGCTATTTCTTTTCATCTCTAAAAGAGATTGAACAGCTTTTTCTAGAGGATCCTGAAAAGTCCCCACCAACCTGTTAGGGGGTTTGAGAGTTTATTCCAGGTAGTGCTGTTTCTATTCACTGCCCGGGGAGGGGATGGGCCAATTATATGTTACTGTTCTTGATGGGTTTTAATCTTGAAAAAATATGTAAAGGATGTAGTGTCAGTTTCTGCTTTCTTGGAGTTAGTAATCCATCCTGGCTTGACACAGTCACTGAGCATGTCGGCTCTGTACAAGACACGTTAGTAGTGGGAGACGACTGCTCGGTTCCATTCTTTAAGTTTGGGGAGAGGTTTTGAGGAGGAAGACTCCATGCTATGGACAATTATAAGGAAAGTAATTATTTAGCAGGACTTTGAAAGTTTTGTTACTTTATCCATATAAATTCACTTCTCAACTTACAAAATCCAAGTTTCCTTTTTATAAAGCCTATCCTAATTTATATAAAAGGCAAATTATAAAGTGATATAGGTTGACTTTTAAAAGAAATATTCCGATAAATTATGACAGCTCACTGTCTTAGAATAGTGTGGCATCTTTGGCAGAATGATTAATTTGTTCTTATGTCCAGCTGCCCCCTTCTCCCCTTGTCCCTTCACCCCAGGTATACATGTTTACTTACATATCAGGTTTGCTTCCAACAGACTCACGCAGGTCTACTATTTAAATATTATTTAAATTATAGGTATAATTAAATTATTAAATTAAATTATTACCTAGGTCTACTATTTAATAATTTAATAAGTCTAATATTTAAATAATTTATTATTTAACTATTTCGATTTAAATAATGACGAGGCTTCTGGCGATGGGAGTAGAACAGTCAGTTTTTGTCCTGTCCAGGAAGCACAGGAGACGTGTGTGGATGGTCTGCCTGTCTGTGCAGTGTGTCTGCACGTCCAGTTCTCAGCACTGACGTGGTAGGGAGTTTTGACAAGCGAGTCTTTTTAGTTTGCAACAGCCCGACGCTGGTTCCACCCCAGGACTGTGGGACTGGCTATGATTCAGGTCAGAACGGTTAAATAAAGGTCAGTGGAATGGGCGAGTGATTAGGTTCAGACTGAGGTGTAAAGGGCTTAGAAACAAATCCCTTGTTCTGAGAGAATTGGGGATGCTAGTACACTGGGGAGCTGGAGCCTCTCCTTTGCCTTGTGTCACAATCAGGCCGAAGAGTATGTTGCTGGCTTCCTGATTTATCACAGGAGGAGGAGTGGTTCAATTGTTTCACGAGGTTTGTAAGAGACTCGAGTAAGAGATATGTCTTCACTGAATGTTTCATTCTGTTATTGTTCTAGTGGAATCACGGCCATTGTAGTAAATAAGCCACAATTGTTTATTCTAAGTCACTGGAGATAGTTCTCTCTCTTAAGTTCCATTTTGTGGCCTCCTCTCCACTAGCAAACTGATCAAAGAGACAGAGCTGGAGAGTGCCTGTGAGAGGTAAACTTGTGTGGTGCTGTGCCATACCCCATCTGCGTGTGTGTGTGTGTGTTTGTGTGTGTAACAGGGCGTTTGCACTGGAGCCAGAGCTCTGGTGGCTGTCCTAAGACAGCTGGGGGCTTTGAAATCTATTTTAGCCACACTGTCTAATTCCCACGGGCCCAGGGGCTTCTTGGATAGAAACACAAATCCTGTTCATGGTTAGGATCTAGACACCAGCTGGTTTGTCTCATGGCTGGGAGGAAAGGGGTGTGTGGTGGACAGCACTGTGGTCAGCAGAGTCCCAGGGGATTTCAGTTCTCTTTACCTGAACAAGAGTCCACAAGGGAATATCAAGTCCACAAGGCTCAGGAATCAGAGAGAAATTGTCCAGTCCAATGAGGGCTCTGCTTGACCAGCATGAGGCCACACAGCCCAAACTCTGGGGTCCCAGACGGCTCTGCTCTGGGTCTCTTCCCCCGAAGAGGTGGGCATGAAAAGAGGAAGGAGTTTCCTGCTGGGAGGCCAGGGCAGACTGGGACAAGCTGCAGATGTGGCCAGGGGGCAGTGGAGGCAGGATGGCACCAGATGAAGTGGCCAGATGGTGTTGGCACATGGTAGTGTTCTGAGGGGTGACAGCAACAGAGGATGGGTAAACAGGGACGGCAGCCCCAGGACAGAGCGAGCTCCCAGGATATGGATGACGGTCTGACAGTCTCCACTGGGTGCAGAGGAAGCGGTGGGTGCTGGGATGCATGGACGTTCAGGCCTGTGGGACATGTGCCAGCGCTAATCATTCCACAGTATTTCTGATGGACTCTTGCTAAGGCCAGGGCCTCAAAACTGAAGAGAGCTGAAATCCTCTTCTAACAGTGAAAGAGAAGTCAGACTAACATGACATCAAGGATGTGAAGCCGTCATTTTGAGGCCATGTTAGAGGATTAATTTGACATTTTCTAAGGTCATCAATATTTGTGGCAATAATTGCTAATCATATCTGTTTCCCTACTGTGCTTTAAGATCCTGAAATGTCTTCTGAGTCACTCAGGAGCAATTAGTGTTTATAATGAAATAATATTAGCCTTTTTTATTATACTTAATTTTTTTTTTGAATTATACTTAATTTTTTTTTTGAAGATGATGGTCCATTTGTAGTAAATGTGGTATCTCATTTATTTGGATAGTTGAGTTGATCAGAAACATTTATTCCTCAATCTCTGGATGAATGGAAATGTGTTTTTTCTTGATTCTACCTAAGTAGATCAATAAAACTCATAATACCAGAGTATAAAATAGCTTACGCACAGCGTCTCGTGTGCCCACACTAAGGGCACGGATCACCGTCTTCACTGTGTGATCGAGGAGCGTGTGGCTCTGGCAGGAGCCCCAGCCTGTGCACTGCCCACCACCCTGGGGTCCATCAGTATAGGTAGCTCCTGCAGTCAGAGTGTGAGTAGGTGATGTTCCCTCTTACATCCCCCATAACGCTTAGTCAAGGTCAAATGCACTTGGAATACATTGGTGGTTGACTACCCGCTCAGCACTCAGCTCTCAGTTTATCCGAGCGTGCAGCCAGGGGCTTCCTGCAGCCTGCTCAGATTCCCTGAGGAGGTGGCTCCCTACCTCTCTGGGATCGCATGTTGTCATTAGGTAATGTGGATGAGACCGCTTTTATCACTGCCGCTCAAGGGGAGTACCGTTTTGCATTATTTTACTGATATAGTCAGCTATGAATTTTGATTACAGGCTCTATTTTACAGCTTGATAATAAAAGTGAATCGTGTTATGGATTGGTGCCCTTCTGGAATTGGTGATGTCTGATAATCTGTCAGTCTTTGAGGCTCAGATTGCTGGTAGTAAGATTAAGTGCTCTGATTTCATGAGTGAGAAGCAGTTCCTCTTTGGGAGAGATAAGAAAGCTGTTTCTCCCTGGCCTTGGGAGAAAGCCATTCTGAGGCTTCCAGCATGATAGGGGGCTGACTGTGAGATAGGGTTACAGCAGGAACTCCTCAACTGCTCTTAAAATTCTTTATGGTCTATTGTATATTTAGCAGATATTTTCTTTTCAAGATAGAAATGTAGAAATGACTGTAATTGTACAGCCAAAGTTACTTTTATGAAAACAAAACATTATTTATATACATAGATCACAATTTCCATTGGGATTCTTTCCTTACCGGACCTTAATTTGATTTGTTTTTTCATTACAGTCTTTCATATTTTCATAAATGTTCAAATAACAAAAAAAAAAAAAGCATTAAGAGCCAGAGAGGGAAAACATTTACAAGTTTGTGGCCTTTTTTTCTCTCTGACTTGCAAGTTAATGCTCATTACTATATGGAGGGTATAAGGTTAAGTATTGCCACAGTTGTATTTTTAAGTGGATGCTTGAACCTGTCTGTCCATTAGGAAACCTGACAAATCCCACATGGCCATGGCCATACCTTATATTAGGGTTGCTGACGTTTCTCCAGCTGTATTTTGGGGTTTCTGGGTTTATGTGTTTGTAGCATTTGGTACGATGACAGTTGCTTACTCTTTTGCTTATTTGCTTATGAGAATCGTCCTGGCATGCTTTCCTGAGAGCAGAATTCTAAGCTTCTATAGTTTCAATTTTACTGGAAGTTAGCTTGTCTGATACTCGTTGCCAAGTAATTGTATTTCTCCCACCTTTCAGCTGAGCTTTCAGCACAAGATTGGGATCCTTTATTGCAAAGCAGGCCAGAGCACCGAGGAGGAGATGTACAACAATGAGACTGCGGGACCAGCTTTTGAAGAATTCCTTGATCTTCTGGGCCAGAGAGTACGGCTGAAAGGATTTAGTAAATATCGAGCTCAACTAGACAATAAAAGTAAGCTTCATATTTGCGTGTGTGCACAAATTTAATTCTCCAAAGGTAGGCATACACTGCATAAATCTAAGCGAGCCATCACATGTCCTACTATTCTTGACCCCAGAAGCAACCTAGCAAGCTTATTTGGGATAGAATTTAGATTTCCTCAGATGAGCAAAGGAAGCACATTTCTCAAGAGGTATGTGTTTCACATAAGCTCAAAAGGTCAATTCTTTTCCCTTTGTAACACCAGCAGAGAGATAACCCAGTGTTTCGTGAAGAATCTTTTAATATTTTCTTCTTTCTTTTAGCCTAACCTCTTCTGTTACACCCTTGTTCCAGTGTACCAAGGACGAACACTGCCTTCATTTCTAAAAGACAAAATATTAACACACTCACTGCTGCCATGCTCTCAGGCTTGTTTTGTTCATTTCTGGTTTCAGGATGTTAACTGGGGAGTTGAGGAATTGATTAGAAAGCTGATGCATCCTATCTTTCAAGGAGCTTGGTCAGGTCCCCTTAAGTGGGGCACGTATTAGCTCTAAGGTGCCAGACTGACTGTCTGATTTAAAACAGGCTTTATGCCATCCCAGGTGTGAATTTGTCTTGTATCTCCATTTAGATAAAGGATCATGTTCCCTATGGTCCTTATAAATTCTAAATATTTTATCTTTGTTTTTGTGCTGTTATCAGCCCCTAAAATACCAGGAGAGTAATTTTTGTATTTTGGAAAATTCTGCTTATTATTAAGCAATTAATTGCTTGCTCTTTTAATGAAAAGAGATGAGCAGATCGGCTCTAAAGTTGGAAGATTTGGGAGCATCTAGCCCACTCCTAGTAGGAATGATGAACGGGCAGCTTTTTCCCTGTGGGAGCATCAGCCTGTGGCTGAGCCAGGATGGGAAATGATGCAGCCTGAGGCCCCGAGCCTCCCTGCCCCCAGCATCCGCTCCTTGGACCATCATTAATACTTGCCTAGATCAGGGTGGTGCCAGATCTTCATGTGCCTGTAATCAGTTCTGGTTTTTTGATACTATTTTTGAAAGTTACATTTAGAGGCTGTATCACAAGACCTGGAGATGGTATTAGCTCACATATAGGCCCCTGTGTGTCCTCCACACATGCCAGGCTTGGCATTTGACTATTATGTTGAATGCCTATTGCTCATGCCTCAAATATGTAAAGATTAGCAAATAACTCGTGACACCCACTATGAATATCCACATATTTTTAAAAAGATCAATGAGACCTTTTCTGATTTTTCTTCTTTTTTTCTTTGCAAACTCCTATTACCTACAAATACCATCCACCCCTTAGAGGTGCTGGCATGCTGCCCTTAGGGATCCCCTTCCTAGAAAACCACCCCTGACATGGACTCCTTACTATGTGTGCCTGTCATCTGTTTTCAGTGAGATTGATTAGGGAAACATTTTAAGAACTTCTGATCTGTACCTTCTATAAAACTACAATATAGATAATGTAAATATTTTCCTATGTGTAGAATTGACGTTGGCTTTGAATTTTTATGACCTCAAAGATGTCCTTGATACATTACAGATGTAGTAGTAAGCACATTAGCTCAAGGAAATGAAAACATAAGAGCAAGATTTTGACATGTTGATTCTAATAATCAACAAATCTTCATTTTTGTGAGCAAGGCATTCTGTGAGATGCAGAGAAATCTAAGACATTCCTTTAGTAGAGAGGATGTTTCTAAGAATTATGTTTCATGGAATGGTCAAATAAAAATTATGTCTTTCGGCGAACAGACAAAAACAAATCTTCTTTCTTAAATTCAGGAGAATTGTGTACTATCTGGTTTTACCTCTGTCTGCTCATAGGACCTTGGTCAGATCTGGGCCTCATTTTCTTCACAAGAAAAATGCAGATTGTTGGGCTAGAATATCTGGGATGTCCCTTCCAGCTTTAAAATGGGTTGTTTCTCTCTTAAGTACAAGACGAAATGGAGTAGGAACACAGGGGATGTGCACCGCTGAGATGCTCTGCTAATCAGAGTAGAGTAAAACTGGAGACCACCCTGAAGGCCCTACATCTCTTTTCAAATAGAAGTATTTTCAGCAAACCCTTGAACAAGCTTGTCAGTTCACCTTCTCCACTACCATCTGATGTTTGAGTTAGAAACTTTCAGAATATTTAATTTCAAAAGCTCATCTTTTAGTACTGCGTGGAATAGACAAATTATGTTCACATTTTTAAAAGTGTTTTTTTCCCCAAAATATGTTTTTCTTTTTTCATTGCAATTCCCTGAATCTGAAACCTGTTGACTAGACTGTTAAATACCTGTCAGCGTTTCTCTTACTGAATCTTAACAGTCCTAATAACAGAGTGTCATGATGGGAGTCATTGAATGTGCTGGGTTATTTCATCCTCTGACTTTCAGTATTGTTATCAGCAAGTCAGTTCTTCATTGAAGAGAACGTTCATTGTCCCCTTGTGACTGAACTTGCTCACTTCCAAAGCCACATTCCCTGTCAAGGTCCTGAGCCAAGACAATTGAAATGGACCATTACTTCCTAAGAAGTCCTATGAAAAATAACAAATATACATTTAATGAATAGTTAAAAGAGAAAATTCCTTTATTTTGGGACTGGTTAATATGGAGCTCATTAGATGAATGTCCTCTCTGACCATCTGCAAATTGGTTTCTCCATATCCATATATAAACATTTTAAATACTCCCCTTATTGATGGAATTGCCTTCTATTATGACCTTTCTAGAGTCTGCAAAACTGTATGTGATATTTTTTCTAGAGAATTTTCAGGACTATTTCTGAGTCAGATGTGAATATTGGAAAGAACAACATACTGCAGGATTCAGAAAGGAAATAATAAAGGCCCGTGTAGGTTAAATGTTTTAATGTTTTTAAAGTAAAAATTAAAATCTTTACATTAAAAAAAGGTTAACCCAAGAGGACTACTTAGAGTTTCCCCAACAAACACAATGAAATAAACTTTATTTTAAATGATATTGAATGGTATTGTTTCTTGTTGTTTAAAAGGTAGAAAAATAAACCTATATATAGGTCAACGATTAAGAAAGGCAGTTCTGAATTCTGTTTATATCTTACTTTATATTTATCTTTTTGTCTTTATTTATCCAAAAGCAGAATGGTTCAAAACTATACCCTAAAATTATTACTTAAATGTTGTATAGTCGCCATGTTGGTTCAGGCGTCTGAAACTCTCAGTCTGAGATTATCTGTTGATAATACAGATGGATTTTGAATTTGCAAGGAATCACTCTTCTTTTCAAAAGATGAATACTGTATGATTGACAGGGTTCAGATGTCATAGTTCTTAACACGTGTCAATGCATAATATACAGTGAGATCACATTCATTCTCCATAGTCTGAGTCAGATGACTGTATCATTGCATTGCCTGTTGAGAAGAAAATTAATTACATCATTCAGGGGATGAAATCTTTAACAGTTTTTGTTCCCATTTCCATATTAAGTCAATCCTGTTTCATTTTGCTGAGTTCTGGAAGATTAAGTGCCCAAGAATAACTAAGAATTAACTGTAAACACACACGCACAAGGACAGGGCAAGGATAACTGCTGAGTAGCTCATACCCTTCAAACCACTGCACGCAGACCTACACCAGGCCATCTGTCCAGCTGCCTTCCTCCTCTGCTCACCTGTACTCCTTGTGGCAGGAGCACCTGGCCCACAGTGGGTCCTCTGAATCCATACTGCAAAGGCAAGAAGGTAGAAGAAATGAGGGAAACCATGAGTTCAGCAGAAAGCACATGGGTAAGAGCAGATATGGAGAAAACTAATCACTCAGGCCACGGGTGTGGGTTGGAAAGTGTGGAAACCATGTACAGAAAGAGCAGGGTGACCACCAAGATGCTGGTCATTTATAGTTGGCTGGTTTGTTTTTTTCAGTTGGATTGCTTTTTGTTATAAGGACCTTCTAAGTGTGAAATTGCTAATTTTGCAGTTGCCTAACTTGTTTTTGTCATCAATCTTTGTGTTTAGCCGATTCTACGGGAACTCACTCCCTCTACACCACGTACAAAGATTACGAACTCATGTTCCACGTGTCCACCATGCTTCCCCACATGCCCAACAACAGGCAGCAGGTACGTCCTCCGCCTTTCTCCTTTACAGCAAGGACCACATCTGAGGTCAGCCCGTTGATGGTGTTAGTGCATTTAGAATTTGCAAAGAATCATTGGGTTTATTTCTTGTTTCTTGAATGGCATTAATAACCTTTGACTCTTTTATCATTTGGAAGTATTTGGGCTTTAAATGGGAGTATTATTGTACAAGTTTTATTGTACTTTTTCGTTATAAAACTTAGAAACTCTTCTACAGGTACCTTTATTGCTTACTAGGCAAAATCTTAAGGGAAGCCAATGTCAAATGTGTTAATTATAAATAGGACAACTGTGTAACCTGAACTTAGGTTTCTGCATGTGGGTTGATAACTTATTTATAGAGAATACTATAAGAAAGGATCTTATAACTCCTTCATCACATGCTTTAATTTTAGGGGTTTGATTATATTTGGGTTAAATCAGGAGTTAAAACAAAGTTTGTGTTCGTGCTTAGGAAACTTAGTTCTCCTGATGTCACTTAACTGCCCTCCTTTGCTCAATAAGTATTCGTTGAATGAATGAAACTTAATTGTTGAAGAGAATTTTTAGCTTGTACTCATGAAATCCAGTGAAAGTTGTCAAAATATGCATTTTTCCAAAAAAGAAGCCACTTGCCCTGTCCCCGTCACTAGTTACGAGAACCACCTTAGATCCTATAGCCAGGATGAGAAAGCAGGCCCTTGATTTCCCAACCTGGCTCTTCACGTTCAGGGCAGCAGCTCCTCTTTTTGTTTTTCTTCTCATGGTAAGTTGCTAGCTGAATTTCCTTACCATTTTCTATCTAATACTTAACCTCAATCCCTTGTCCTTCCTGAATTTTCTGCAGTGTTTTCTAGGAATCAGAATTCTTCAGAAGATCTGTCATATGTACATACAGATCTCATATCTGTATGTTTTTTATGAGATGGGGTTACAATCACTAATCTCATGTATATATTTATGTATCTTTTAGCCTAAAGGATTTCTAGCTCTTAAAAAATTTATCTGGAGTAATGCAAGCTAGATTCAGTAGATATTAAGAAGCTTAATTTAGTTAGACCCAAGCAGTTGTCCAACAGATACTTGTGAATCATTCAGTAATTAAACTCTGTGTGAGGAGTTACTTGGAAAACTGATAGGGCTTCTTACTCAGGCCAAGAAAATCTGTCAGGACATTAGCAGAAGTAGAGCCAGTGCCTTTTGACCCCAGTCATTGAGTGTTCAAACCACAAAGCCCTCCAGCTCTGTAATTATTTGACTCGTTGGACTCCACACTGAATTGGCCCTGTCCTTTCTCATATGGCATCCTCTGGAATTTAGAAGTCTGCTTGACTTGACTGTCACCAGAACTCAAAACTGGCTTCCCTCATTCCTTTTTAGCTGTAAGATAATTAAAATTTGTGGGTTTATCTTCCTGTATAAATCAGTTCCTTAGAGTTTCTGTTGGAGTGGGGGCTCTGCAGTTCCTCCTCCTGTCAAAATCTTCCTACCAATATGGTGTTCCACTGTCTAGCTCAGCACGAGTAGGAGAGCAAACAGCTTCACTGTCATCTATCTGCTTTGATTTAGTACATTGGTTTAGTACGATGTTTGATAGAACATTACTGGCCAGAAAACATGGGTGTCACATCTCTAGAAAGAAGAAAAAACATAGTAGTTCAATTTCCGGTGTGTATCTTAGACTTTTTTTTTTTTAAGTAAAAAATAAGAATCCGTACTGACTTTTCACTTGGCTGTTCTGGTTTTAAGGAGGAGCTGTGCACTGTATGTTTTTCTCTACTGGTGTGGCACTTTACTTTTGTACCATGAGTAAAATTTGACATGCTTTGCAAGAACCATCAAAAAAAAAAAAATTTGTGGGTTTATGAGTTCTCTGTACCTGACTTTTTTTCACTCTAACTATCCTTGAAAGGTCCTACACACAAAAATGTGGATGGAGGGATGGGGGATGGGTAGCGGGGTGGATGAGTGTTTTAAACTTCTTGAACTGGAGATTAAAAAAAAAAAAAAATCCCTGTAAATTGAAACTATACATTACGAACTCTGTAGCCTAAAGAATTATTTGGTTGCTTTCTGTTTCTGTTAACTTGAATGAGAACCCGTGGCATTAAGTCCCAGCTACTAGCTTTGTGACCTGGGGCAAAGTTTTCTTTGCTTTAGTTTTCTTTATCCCTAAGGGCAGGGGCTTTATCTCTTTTCTTCACAGAGGTGTCCTTATGTGCTTAGAACCATACCCAGAACATGGTAAGCAGTCAATAAACATTTGTCGAATGACTTAATGAACTTTTCTTAGATGGTAGTTAGAATTAGATCAGTTAATACATAGAAAGCACTTAAAATAGTGCCTGGCACAGTGTGTGCTCAATAAGTTTTAGTTGTTATTTTATTTTATAATTTATTAGACATAGAGCATGAGTATTTTAGATGACTTAATTTGCATTTTATGTTCCTGTTCCCAATCCTAATGATCTATTATGAAAAGCTCAGTCCTGAATAGTTAAGAAAGTAAGGGACTAATTTATCAATAATTTTAGAAAACTAATTTTACTTTGACATTTAATATTTTGCTAATCATGAGTAGTCATCAGAATATTTTATTCGTAGAGAAATGATGCCACTGCAGTCTGGGAATATATATTTTCCAAACTTGTTATAGGTTGTACTGACTCTTTCCATATCTCTCACCCACCCCACCCATGCCCACAAATTGTCTTAATACCAAGGGCATAAATGTCTGGGATGACCAGCCAGGTTCATGACTGCAGCTTGAGGCCACAGAACTTAGCAAAGGTAACTGGCCTGTACGTGAATTGTGCCTGTAACCTTGGCCTCATTAGCGTTAGGATATTTGTGACTGTTTAACCGGTCCAGACTCGTCCACATCAGATCTAATTTCTTGTGTTTGTTCTTGTAGTAAATCAAGCTGAAAGCTGATTCCAAGATGTATTAAAAGTCTTTAGGGAGTTCACCACAGTTGCAGAAGAGTTCAATCTCTGGAATGTCTGACTCTTGCAAAGAAAACCTAGCCAGACCCAGGGAATGATAAGAAACCCCGCTCCTGGAGTGTTTTCCCTCTTCTGTGAAGTCCCGGTCTCCCGGGGCCTGTTTGGCAGTCAGTCCACTTTTCCCAGGGCTGTCTCTCCATGAGCTTCCCTTCTGACTGTCCTGTAGACAAATCATAGTTAAGCTATCAGGGGATGTTATCAGTGGACAAAACTCCACAAATTAGCTTCAGACTTCACTTTGGCAGAGAAACCTTTTCTTCAAACTAAATGTGTAAAACAGATAAGGGTAGCATGGTGCCTGGTACTTAGTAAGCTTTTTTTTTTTTAACACATGCATAAAATTAGAGCTGCTCTGCTTGGAAGGGTATCCGAGCCCCACTGAGTTAGTTCCCTAAGGAATAAGACCAGGCCCCTAGGGTTCTGAGATTCCATTTGAAGAATGCTGGTCTCAGCCTAGTGAGGGGCTTGACGTCTGCAGAGGTAACGGAGACACAGCTCCTTAGGTGTGACAGGCTGGAACCACTCCTCCCTGTAATTTAGATAGATGGCCGACTCTGCCTTAAAGGGTTAGGGTACACTCCTAAGTCCCTAACTGGTACTGCTAAGGAACCATTCAAATACTGGAGGAATCTGCCTCATTAAGTGCTGTTCGAGCAGGTCATGACTACACTTGAGTTCACCTATAAATAATAATATGGAATATTTTGGAAGAATAAAATGCTTATTCTGCTTTCCATGATGAGCTTTATTCCCAGACCCTAAATAGGAGTTGTATGCTTATTCCAAATAATAAGATTTATTGCTTAGAATGTGTAGGTATTGCCCAGTGTCAGAAGAGAAATACTTATATCTTCATAATCCTGTTCTTATCCTCACTTTGTTATTAAAGCATTAAAAATCCGTATTCTTGGTTTATTTCTGTTTCTCTGTTTGCAAAATATTCAGCTTTGCTTGTTTGTACGTTTACTATTGCTATTGGTAAAATATTTTATGTATTATTTTATATTAAATATTTTGTATACTATTTTATATTAAATATTTTATGTAATATTTTTGTTGGTTATATGAAATTATAAATCAGCAATAAATCCTTGAAATAGTAATTAAATTTGATGTGATCTTGCTGATCTAAGAGTGATTAACTAGCCTTTGCTTCTTTTATAGGGCGTGGGTGGGCAAGACTTTCCTTCTCTCAGTGTAAAGGTTTTGTATTTATGTGGTGGCATGTGTAGGTTTCCCTCCCTTTCTTATTATTCAGACTGCTATTCTATGTTCACTTTTTCCATGTCTCTCCACAGGAAACTCTAGATATCTCTTAGAAATCAAAGCAAAATTCTAACCACTGGTGCACACTCTTGAGTATAGAGTACATGAGGGGGTGTGTTGTGTGTGTTTGTGTGTGCACGTGCATTTTCGTGTGTTGTGTGTGCACACAAGCAAAATTAGGAAGGTCTCTGAAGGAGGAGAAGCTCGGCGTCTGTGTAAGGGGGAGAAGCTTCCCAAGCAAGGGACTAGCAAGTGCCAAGAACCCGCAGCAGAAACGGGTTGGCGTGTTGGAGGGACAGGTGGCGGTCTAGAATTCTAGAAGGGAAGGGGGGGTGATAAATAAAGGTCGGAGAGGTGGAAAGGATCAGGTCCAAGGAGTCTTTGTCAGCCCTGCTCCTACTGACAGGACTTTTAGATTCCAACCTAAAGACTGAGATCCAGAACTTGTGATTGGTTTTTTTTATGGGGATACGTTTAATTTTTTGCTCAGTTCTGAGCTCATCTCTTTGAATTTCAGAACTTGTAAGATAGTCATTAAATGATGCAGTGTTTTCTCTTTGAAATCATGCTAATTTTCACATATTTGCTTTTTAAGACGAGACTCTCTCTGGAGATCTGCCTTCTCCAGTTTCAAGTTAAGCTTTCTCTTCACTGACTCTGACTCTTAGAAACTCTGAACCACATCCTGACTGCTTCTCTTTCATATTGTGCAGCCTGCTTCCCCCCTCCCGTCCAGAATTAGGTGCATAATGCTGTTTTTCTCTTTTGCTAGGTTAAAAAAAAAAACGAACTTAATGAATGAACCTATTTGCTTAGAGGCTAGTAGATCGGACCTGTGTCCCTTTTGTGTTCCTTTTGATCCGAGGTGGCTGCCTGACCGTTGTTTGTTTTCTCTCACTTTTGATTGTTGCACCGAGTTCAAACTGGCCCCGTGAAACTCTGAAGTTTGTTTAAGGAATTGAGAGTGAACCTAAGGGTTGCTACTTCTGTAGTGTCGGCATGCTTTCTGCCATGGAATTGGATGAAGAAGCACATTGTCACTTTCCTTGTCACAGCAGGAGCTTGTTCCTGTTTCACAGCTTGAATCAAGTTTTTGAAATTTAGTAGAATCGAAATCTGTCCGATACAATATTTATTAACTCACTCTTGTGGTTGAAGACACTAAATGGGCGCTCTTGGCACTAGAAAAGTATTAGGAGCATCACATGTCTAGAAAGGAGAGGCTAGACAGGCCAAGGAGGTGTGTTCCTTTAATGCCTGAAACACCGGTGGTGGTAGCATCCTGGTGATCCTGGGACCTGCCTCTGCGTTGTGCTGGTACACCTGTTCTGGACCAGTTAGAAAAAGACGTTAACTAACTACTAAAGAAAACATTTACCTTTATATAAGAAGTGCAAGAAATTACTTAGGTTACTTAATGTTTGAAAGAATGTTAAAAAACTATGAATAATGTTTCTGTTAACTTTCCAGATGTTTAGTCTCCAAACAATTCAAGCATCCTGTTAACGGACAGGTGTTATTTTTCTTATTTTGTTCTCCTATAAAGAGCTTTAGATTTTACTCTTAATAAATCTCCTTGCCCCCCACACACACTTTATTGTCTCTACAAAGTGCATTTTGTGACCATGGTTAAATTCATTATACTTTTAAAAACATTTTTGGCCCATTTTACAGAGCAAAAGAATGTGCTTAGAAAGGGACAAAAGAGGTTTGGCATGTGGTCAAGGAAACTAGTTTTAAAGTTTCCTTTAACTTGTGCCTTAAATATTCCTGTGGTGAAGTATAGAATTGGACCCAATGTCTTCCTTCCAGAAGAAGAGAGAATGGATAGGAAGAGCCGTCCGATTTGCTGTTGCAGTGGCAGCAGCAACAAAGTGCTGACTAATGAGTCCGTCCTGCACTGTGAGTGTGCTCAAGAGGACCGGCCATGAGGTGTCACACAGCAGTCACTCAGGAAGGAGGAGCTGCAGGGTTCCCCGTGTGGCCTTGGCCGTTGTGAGCTCCATCTTCTGATCGTTAGTCTGAGAATCCCTGTGTTTCAAGGATATTGAGTAAAGTACAGTATGAGCTATTGTGTTCTGTGTGCAACAAATGTGTTGGACACAGTGTTAGGTATTTTAGGATTTTTTTTAACTCTTCATTTGTTCCTGAATTTCCCTTGTCCTGTTCCAGTACATGTGAATCGTGTATTTCAATTTGGGGGGAAATGAGGGAAGAATATCTTAGCCTAGTACAATTTCCAGCTTGTCTGTTGATGTTTGTTTTGGATACTTGTCCTTGCTTCTGTTTTCTTTCTTTATATGAAATATTTATTGTGGTTAACATCTGTGTCCACTATAGTATGGGCAAATGATAAAACAGTGAATATGACCTAGTTTGCTACTAATTTTTTTTACCTGCATCTGAAATGGCACACATTACTTAAATATCTAGCAAACATCTTTAAAACTACAGATGGTTCATTGAGTCTGTATTAATGTATATCAATGTATTTTTCAAAACTTCAGAAAGTAAGATGATTTTTGTGTGTTTATAACTTTAACCATGCAGATTTAAATAGGAGTTTTCCAGCATATGAATCAACAATTTAACTGCCGTGTAGAGAACTCTGGAAGAGTGAACATCTCATTCCCACTTTTTCAGTCCTTTTATCATGCTAAATCACAAGTCAGGGGCCTGTCAATGAAGTCCTTTTTGTATCTGGGTTTAAAAGGTTTTAAAAGTTGAACCTAGTGCTCTGTACAGTGAGGTGTTTTCTGTAGGTGCCAAATAAATTTAAGAGCAAGCTTGTTGCCTTTGTTATTGGTAGTAAGGAGAGATTTACTACCTGAGATTATCCCATCCTTGCAGTGACATCACCAACTCATAGAAAGATTATTATGTCTATTAAAACTGAAGATCAGAGACTTTGTGAGCATAGATACTATGGCTTTACTGCATAAATTTACAGAGTGCCTTGTGTATGGATTTATCAGCATGTATTCAGAGGTGGTCACAGTTTTAATGCACAGTGTTAGGGGGCTATGATTATATATTTGTATCATTTGTTTATTCATTTAGCAAGTGTATATTAGGTGTCTGCTATGTCCTGGGCAGGCCGTGAGAAACTAGGCAATCAGAAGTCAATAAGATACATCCCCGGCCCTCATGAAGCTTGTGACGTGCTGCTGGAGAAGTAAACCAACAATTAGTGTAGAATACAACAACACTAATGTCATAGAAATAGGCCTGGGTTTGTGAGTGGAGGACCGAGGAAGTTTCTTCCAGGTGAGATGATACCTAAGCAGAGACCTGAGTTGTCTAGGAGAAACCTGGGGTGAAGGGGGCATTCGTGGCAGGAGGAACATCAGAAGTAAAGGTGTTGTTAAAATGTTACTGTTCTGGGATTCCTTCTATCCTGCCACATTTGTAATTTATAAGATTACATATTATTGGATTTTCCATTTGTTAATCTGAATTCTGTATTTCTGAATTACATTTAAAAGGCCAGATTTCAGTTAGTTAGTTTGAATATATTAGCCACCAAAATAGCAGTCTTCTATATTTTTGTTGCAGAAATGCATGTTACTACGGGAGCACAAGACTCAGGCTAAGGCCCCGTAACACACTAGTGTAGGACTTGAGTAAACCTGTATCCTCTCTTGGATTCTGTCTCCTCCTTTTAAGTTGAAGAACTTAAACCATAAAATTCCTTAAAGCATTTTGAGCTCTAATGGGCTATTATTTTAGGGTAAAAAAGATAAAGATGAATAGGAGAGAGAACACAAGTTAAATTTTAAAGTAAAAGAGATGAACTTAAATATTCAGACTTAAAGTTCTTTCCATAGGTCTTTTGGACGAAGCCCATTTTGCTTTTGCTGTGCCATGTTTAGCAGCACTAGATTCCAAAGAATGACTCTGCTCTTCTAACTAAGGCCTTTAAATGGAAAGATGAGTGAATTGTATGTAATTACATATTTTGTTTTCTCAGAAAAATCTTGTTTGTAACTCTGTGTGTGTATGTTCACTTTCCTGACTGCAGCTTCTGAGGAAAAGGCACATAGGAAATGACATCGTGACCATTGTCTTCCAAGAGCCTGGAGCACTTCCTTTCACTCCAAAGAGCATCCGGTCCCACTTTCAACACGTCTTTGTCATAGTCAAAGTGCATAATCCATGTACTGAAAATGTGTGTTACAGGTGAGTCAGTAATTCCTGATTTTTCATTCTCATAGGTTTATTTCAACAGAGCATTTTTTCCCAAAATATCTTTGTTTTCCAGTTCTTATTTCTAAACCTCATAATTATCCTTTTTTTCCTAATTGTATTTCCCACTGTCTTCACTGAGGTACTTTCTGTAAGAAATAATTGCCTTCTTTCCATTTTGAAAAAGTGAAATATCTAGCAGTTCAAAATCACAGATTACACATTTCTTCAATTTTCCCCTTAAAAACTGCATCCAGCCCCCGCTGGAACCGTGGCTTAACTGATACCAGCCTTGGAGGTGGGTGATACGGCCTCTCAGTTCTTTTCCAGCAGAAGGAATTGTTGTAGTGGTAAAACATTTCTTCACGTCTAAGATCTTGGAAACATCCACTGCCGCAGGGACAAAGAGTTGACACTTGCTTTGGTGATTTCACAAGGCCATACACAGGGCTGCGAATCCCGAGGCTGTTTCTGACCAGGCCTGCTTTTCCTCTTTATGCCTGCTCTCAGACTCTTTCTTAGGAAATAACCGTCACTCAAAGACTGTGCCGTGTGGCGTATTGGTGAAAGAGTGGGTTTTTGACCTGAGTTAGAATCCAGCTCTACTGCGCGTCATGGTGTTTTGTATGAGGTATTTTATTTTTGAGTCTTCAATTCCTTCTCTTAAAATTGAGGGTAATAACAGTCATGTGTCACTTAACAATGGGGATCCATTCTGAGAAATGTGTCCTTAAGTAATTTCGTCCTTGTGCAAGCATCATAGAGTATATTCACACAAACCTAGATGGTATTGCCTACTACACACCTAGGCTATCTGGTAACAATGTCATGGGAGCACCGTTGTCTATGCGGTCCGCCATTGACTGAAACGTCGTTATGTGGCTCATGACTGTAGTACCTGCTTCACTGTGTAGTTATGAAGAATAAATAGCAGAAATTATGCAAAACACCTATGCAAGCTCCTGGCCCTCAGCAAAGGTTATTTCCCTTTATCATCTTAAAACAGTGGTTTCCAGTTGAGCTGCCTACTGGACCCAGGCGGGGTACATGAGTGTGAGTTGTGAGCGAGTGGTAGAACCCATGAAAACTGTAGGGCGTGCCCTCCTAAAGGCAAAAAAACTAGTCTGTGTATTAAACATTTACATCCCCACCCCCTGTCTAACCCCCATCTTAAAAAGAACACAAAGTCTATAAATTGGTAGTTCTTAGCTTGAATTTTACTTCACAGTCAGCTTGTTAAACATAGAGATTCTCTGGCCCCACTCTGCAGTATTCTAATGTAAGAGACCTGGAATTGACCAAAGCATCTGCATATTTTCCTCCCATAGTGATTCTTACATACATCTGGGCTAAAGACCAGTGGCCTGAGTGCTCAGAACTACTTTTAAGAAATCATAGTGAAAAAAGTATATCTATTCTGTATAAATGATATGCTTAAAATAGATAATGTTGGTACAGACGTGGTAAATTGGTTTATTCTTCTGAGATCTCACCCGATGAATGATAATTATGAAGGATAATCTTACAAGAACCTTCCTAATGGATTGGAAACAAGCCTAGGTCCTTATTATATTTGGTGTTATTTTATTGGTTGCTGTTTTTAAGTCAAATCAAGTATTTTTAAATACTTTTTGTCTTTAGTTTATGTTTATATCAGGAGGTGGTTCATTTGAACAAAAAAATTTAAGGATAAATAGTATCTATTTTTGTTTCTTTCAGGTTTTCTGGTTTTAATTAAACGACTGGGGAGGGATGTTTTTGATACCAGTATTGGTATAGATCTTACTTGTAAACAAAGTGGATTGTGTTACGTTTTCTATGATGGAAGATAGCATGTGCAAATCATTCAGACATGGAGTCACTGGTTTTTAAGAAAACACATAGTTATCACTTAAATTATCATTTACTAGTGAGATTCAAATGTAAAATCAATAGAGTGCCTCAGATTTTTGGAAGTGCCTCGTAAACATTCATATTGATCATGCTTACAACTTCCCGAGTATTCTTCAAAGAATCAATAATAATCTTCTGGAATACTGTAGTCAAATCAATGCCATAACATTTTATGAAACCGTGTTTACTCTGTCACATGGAATAAGGTTGCAGTGCCTAAATTTCCCAAAAACACCTTATAGGTCTGTTTCATATGCTATTCCTCAAAACATAGCAGTGGCAAAATAAATTCATCAAAATAATTTCCAAAGAAATGACAAAATATAGTCCAGGTCTATTGTTTTCTAAGGTTGCCGTGTCTTAATCTATGGATGCATTTTAAAGAAGACTGGGTGGATTGCACACACCTCAGGCGAAGTCCCATGAGTACTATTCCTCTCATGAGCTTTGTGCAGGTGCTGAGTGGCAGTGAGTTCTGGCTGATGAGGACGTGTGGTACCACTTAGTGCAGATCATGGTCCAGACAGGCCGTTGGGTTGAGATGACCTCCTCTGATGGAAACGGTGCTGCCCAACAAGTGCACTGTCTAGAGGAGTAGAAGAGCACGCTCCCACCTTACAGAGGTGGTCTGAGGCATCCCCCGTGCATGCAGCAGGATTCTCAAGAAGTAATGCTGGGTCCTCTTGAACCTGGAGAGGGAGGATGAGGCAACATCCTGAAAGCTCCATGGAACATAATTTCGGCCTGAAACTTTAAAAAACCAAACTTAACTAATTGCCTGTTTCTTTATACAAAGATTCTTTAGTTTTAATAGTTGTAGCCATTGCAGAGCTAACTTGGAGGGATTTATGTGTTTGTATACTTTCCAAGATAAACTTTTTGCAAAATATATCTCTTGGTAACTGAATGAGTAAACTTCTTGGTATGGAAGCTTGGTAGCTAACTGTCAATTAAAAGTGCAAAGATGTCTACAGAAAGTGATGACTTCCATTTTAGAAAATTTAATATGTAGTTCCTCTTGACAGAAATTAGATGATGTTAAATTGATGATTGTTTCTGAGAATAATGATAATCACAACAGTTTGGATAATAATAGCTTTACATGCATTATTTCGTTTAATCCTCACAATGGACTTTTGAGGATGGCCCTATTTTGACCTCCATTTTACAGATGAGGAAACTGAGGCACTGAGGGTTTAAGAAACCAGTTCAGAGTGTCTTAGAAAGTGGTGGCGCTGGAATCCCAATGAGGCTGCCAGACTCCAGAGTCTGCCCTTCACCACTTTGCTTTCCTAAAACCCTTTAACTTGAATATTAAGGAATGCTTTGTTTTGTTGCTTTCAGTGGAGGGGTCTTATATCTAAATCATCAACAAATGCTGTCAAGTTATTTGGGTAAAATAAGAAGGAGTTCTGAAACACATTCTTGTGTCAACCTATTGGGAATTATCTAAATCTGGCAAAAGAATATTCCTTCTGACTTCAACTCTGCTTGAAAGAATTAGGATTCCATAAACTTTTGTAACCAGGGATAGCTAATTGGTCCCCATCCCCAGAATATCATAGTAATCATGGAATGGCCATGCCTAAATTCTGCTGCTTTTTTGGTACAACTATGATTTGAGATGCACAGGATTGCAGTTTATCGGGCAGGAACATACCATACATTGTAGAGGGTTTGTCCAGTTAGATATTAGGGTCGATAATTTGGGACAAAAAGAATTGCCCTTTTAAAAGATCCCTCCATCTACCCACCATGGAGCTCCACAGTGAGAGCTATGTTGGAACATACTTGGATATAAAAAGGTTTCCCTGCTGCTTTGGCTTAAGTGCATACAAGCTGCAGTCAGAGAGTAGCTTGAGATCCACAGATCTAAGTGCAAAATGGGACTTGGCCTCCTCAGCATTGTGTGGGTAAAATCCTTCCAGGAATCTGTGCTCATTCCTGGAAGAGAAAACCAAATTTAGGAGAGGTGATCACGTGAGTTTATTATGCCCAATATCAGTAGGGCAGGTGCCAGTGCACAGAGAGGCTGTTTGAGCTCATCGATCAGTGTAGAGGAGAAGCAACAATGTGTGGTTAGACCAGCTCTCAGGGAGTTAACATGTGAGGACAAGTTAATTCCTACGCAGTCTAGAACGTCCTCCCAAGGCTGGTAGTGAGGAGGAGATGGGGTCAAGTATGATGTTGGCCCCTGAGCCACTTCAACCTCTGCAGTGTTTTAGTACCCTCCTTTGAGGACATGAGTCAGGTCCCCCACGTCACCCTCTGGTTTGGTGCATATACTACCATCCATGAATGAATGTGGTGTATCTGTACACCTGTAGTCCTTCTTCCCTCCCCTTTAATACCCACTAAGGCCCCATCCAGACAGTCTTCCATCCTGCTGCTCAGGTCTCCAGAAGTGATTAACTCTTCTCGTGAGTGTGCAGGTTAATGCAAAGGTGAGAGATATCTGGGACTGTGATCTTTTTAGAGTCTAACCAACCACATTCTAGAAGAGGAATTCATGCCTGACAGAAGAGATTTGGACAGAAGGTTTTTTCATTCCTCAATTCACCTCTTTCAGGATTTTCTGCAGTGATGACAATGAAGCATAGATTGCTTCCTTTGTTTATCCCAACGGAGAAAATATCAGCCTGGGCAGATGTGAGATTAGTACAAGTTCTTGATCTGCAGTATCTACTCAGTAATTGAGGAGTAGATGCTGTGAGATTCATGCATTCACTCACTCCAGTCCTTCATTTGTTAGTTCATTAATTTACTCTTTATAGTGGATCTTATTCCAAAAAGGATTTGAGACAACTATAACTTCTGTCTGTTGTAGGGGAACATTCTTGGTGTTGCAATCTTAAGATGGTTGTTACTTTCACAGTATATTTGATCTTTTTAGTCCCTGGAATCTCTTAAAACTTTGCTCCCAGAAAGCCTTCATTTAGATTTTCAGAATGTGATCAAGTGAGCATTTCCTTAAAAAAAAAGTGACACTTAAAAATTTTGGGGGCCATCCAGTGATGTAGTGGTTAAGTTCTCACACTGTGTTTCAGTGGCCCAGGGTTCGTGGGTTCACATCCTGGGCGCGGACCTACACAGCGCTCATCAAGTCATGCTGTGGCGGTGTCCCACATACAAAATAGAGGAAGCTTGGCACAGATGTTAGTTCACTGACAATCTTCCTCAAGCAGAAAGAGAAAGATTGGCAACAGATGTTAGCTCAGGGCCAATCTTCCTTACCAAAAAAAAAAAAGAAAGAAAGAAAGAAACATTTTGACCCTGTAAGTATGGTCATTGTACCCAGTACCAGTGAGATCCCAAGCAGCCAACTGGGGCTAATCTCACTTCTGTTGGAAGAGTCACTGTGTTTCTCAGTGATGATCAGCTGCAGAATTACGGAGTACCAGCCTGGCGCCGTCTGGAACTCTGCATATCCTGTCCCACTATGGATCCATTACCACCTATCTTAGCTCAGGTAGCCGTGAAAAAGTACCGCAGATGGAGCGATTTAAACAACAGACGTTTATTTCTCATGGCTCTGGAGCCTGGAAGTTCAAGATCAAGGTGTTGTCAGCTTTGGTTTCTCCTGAGGCCTCTTCCTTGGCATGCAGGTAGCACCTTCTCGCTATGTCCTCACATGGTCTTTCCTCTCTGTGCCTGCGTCCCTGCTGTCTCTCTGTGTGTCCAAATCTCCTTTTATAAGGACATCAGTTGCATTAGATTAGGACACACCCTAACGGCTTCATTTTGACTTAATCATCTCTTTAAAGATCCTGTCTCCGAATACAGTCACATTCTCAGCTACTGGGGTTTAAGACGTCAACGTACAAATTTTTAGGGTACACAACTCAGCCCAGAACACTCCCTTCACCTACTAAGTTCGAAAAGTTTTGCTTAAAAACAAACAAACAATAACTTGGTATCCAGAAATTATGATAACAAGAAGCTGCAAAACTGTGGCTGAAGTTGAAAGTCTGGGTATATGTCAGATTTCTGAAGATAAGTATTATGATATCATAGCTCATCTCACTTCTCTTTTTTCTTCCTCAGTGTTGGAGTTTCTAGATCAAAAGATGTGCCACCATTTGGTCCACCAATTCCCAAAGGCGTAACTTTTCCAAAATCAGCAGTATTTCGGGACTTCCTTTTAGCCAAAGTAATCAATGCCGAAAACGCAGCCCATAAATCAGAAAAGTTTCGGGCGATGGCCACTCGAACAAGGCAAGAGTACTTGAAAGATCTGGCGGAGAACTTTGTCACGACCGCCACCGTGGATACCTCTGTGAAATTCAGCTTCATTACACTGGGTGCAAAGAAAAAGGAGAAAGTAAAGCCAAGGAAGGACGCCCACCTGTTTAGCGTCGGAGCAATCATGTGGCACGTAATAGCTCGGGACTTCGGCCAGTCTGCTGACGTTGAATGTCTTCTTGGAATTTCCAATGAGTTCATAATGTTGATTGAAAAGGATTCCAAGAACGTTGTATTTAACTGTTCCTGCAGGGATGTCATTGGGTGGACATCTGGATTAATGAGTATCAAAGTATTTTACGAAAGAGGAGAATGTATCCTTCTGTCCTCAGTGGATAACTGTGCTGAAGAGATAAGGGAAATTGTTCAGCGATTAGGAGTAAGTACAGGGTTTGTATATCCCGCCGTCCTTAGGTCTTCAATCCCAGATTCATAACAGCTTCCACTGGGGAAATTCCACCATGATTATGGCACCTAGGGAATGAATTACTATTTCTTATGGCTACAGAGCTTAATTTTGAATGCTGTGTCCTTTTGAGCAGTTGCTGAATACATGAATGGTGGAGCAGCACCTGTTACAAGTTGATTAGAAAGGAAAAGTTAAGCCAACTTTCGAAAGGGAACATCGGGATGTATTTTTATAGTATTTGAAGGAAAAACAGAAGAATTGTCTAGATATTATGTCTGTTTGTAGAGACTGACATGACAGTACCTTCCCAGAGGGAAATTAATAGGCACAAAATTGCTGTTGACCATATGAGTGAGACATCCTCTCTGCAGCTTCAACTCTGCACGTTTATACAGCAGGTATTTTTGTTTAGTCTGCCGGATTAAATATGTTATTAATCTTCCAGCCACAGTTTCTTAAGGAGGTTTTATAGAATTACCCATTAAGTTAGTCAAAAGAAAAAAAATCAGTCATAAAAGAGATTTTTAAAAAATGTTATCTTTAGTACAAAGACCCTAAGTGATGTCCATGGGTTTAGCAGTTGTATTTCTGCTCCTACTTTTAACAAAGAAAGTTGCAGATTTTAGTTTGAGTATATACAATAGAGTTATAAGAATAAACCAAATATAATACAAGAACAAAACATGCCTTCACAAAAGAATTTCTCATGTGTAAATCTTCCCCCTGGGAGATGTATATTTCGTTAATTAGAAAAGACTTAGTCAATTATGGATCATGGAAAAAGGAGAAATTATATCCATTTCTTGCCCCGTTTTCCCTCACCAAGTATAAATCTCCCTGTTGTTATTTGACACCATGTATGAGACACAATACAATCCAGTCAGTCCTGCTAGCACTGGAGAAATAATTTCATACTTTGCAGACACTGTTTACAGGAAAGAGCCACGGTGTGTTCAGCAGTATTGTTGGGTACATGTGCGTAAACCTAGATGTGATTTGGGGATGATTAAGTATGTGAGTACTTGATGTATCTGGAGAATTGAGTTAACCTTATGAGTCTCGGGACACATTGTACTTTCTGTAATATTGCAGATACTTGTGGAGATCCACTGAGTCATAATAATCTGTGCTCCTGAAAATACAACACAGATAAATGCCACTTCACCAGCCACCAAAGTACACACTACAATGGGTAATTTACACATAGGTTCTTACACATCCACTGTTCCATGGACCCCATCCCACCATTTTCCTAGAAAAATGACTGTATTGCTAATGTGACTGAGGTGCCTAATGCCTGGAATATATTTGAGGAAGTATGTTCTGTGTCTAGGATGACTTGTAACAGGAGATATTGGAAATAAACCAACCCAAAGACTGTCAAAGGGATAAAACATAAGGTTGGTACAGGGCAGTTCCAACAGAAATGGAAAGAAAGGAGGATGGAGTCATAGTAGAAATACTGGGAATGAGTGCTTTTGGCAGATGGTACTCAGTGTGCGTTCTGTGGTGGCAGAAAGTGAAATTAAAGGTGTCTGTTATGCAGGTAAAGCTACAAGAAGGGAATGAGCTTACACCTAAAGGGACAGGCAGGGCCAGCTTCATCGGTGTGCAGCCTGTGCAGTCACACAGGGACCCATTCTCAGAAGATCCCATGCGTGGTTGAATGCTCTGCTGTTGCCATCTTGAAATTCTGAATAATTTTTGACTATGGCCCTGCATTTCTTTCTTTCTTTCTTTCTTTCTTTTTTGTGAGGAAGATTGGCCCTGAGCTAACATCTGCCAATCCTCCTCTTTTTACTGAGGGAGACTGGTCCTGGGCTAACATCCATGCCCATCTTCTTCCACTTTATATGGGATGCCACCACAGCATGGCTTGACAAGTGGTGCGTCGGTGCATGCCCGGGATCCGAACCAGTGAACCCCAGGCTCCCGCAGCGGAGCACGCGCACTTAACCGCTTGCACCATGGGGCCGGCCCTGGCCCTGCATTTCTATTTTGCACTGGGCCCCACAAATTATGTAGCCAGTCCTGGGTACATGGATAGGAGGCCACCATTTCATGTGATAATTGAATCTATGCAAGTACATGAGGACCTCCAAGCAAATGGAGAACGTGATCTTCAACCTTTTTGAATTTTAGTAAGAAGGAAAGAACAGAAGGGATAAAGAAAGACAGAAAGCAAAAGTAGAGGAGGTGGCAGGTGGTTGGAGGAAATAAGTAGAAGAGACAGAACGTGTAGTACTCTGGAAAAGCCTGGCTGTTCACTCTTTAGTCTACTATATGGATGTTTAATTTCAACCGAAAATTGCATAATGTTTGAAAGAAAGCTGGGCACCTGTCATAGGTAGTCTTTGGTAGGGGAGCATAGTTGAAACAAAGTTGGAAAAAAAGTGAAGGAAAAGTTTATTCAGGTTGTAAGTATTATGAACATACTTTTGCTAACAATTTTAAATTAGTTCACTTCATAACTTTGGAAACTTCAGTCTTTCAAAACTTCACTGCTAACTGAGACCAGCAATCCCTTGCCCCATTTTCCTAAGCCCCGAACTGTCAATGTGTCTCTATAAGACGCTGGTTGGGCACATGTGCGCCCGTGGTGGTAACCATGGAAACCTCAGACACAGTGATGATACACTGAACCAGCCCCAGTCCCACAGCTGCACTTATAGTCAAAGGTCTTATTAAATAGGATCTGTGTATTCAGAGCATGTTTCATGGAAATAGAGCATTTATTAAACTGAAACTTCATACATTAGCTCTGTGCTTTGGGGGATATGGGTATGATATCTCCTGACTTTTAATTTCTCACATATAAGTGATGCCATAGTCATCAAATGATATTTAATGAGCCCATGTTTTTCTTTCAATGCGTGGAAGCTGTCTCAGTAAGCACTTTTGAGGGTGGCATTAACTGATTATTGGTGCTTTAGTACACTGAGTGGGATGCAAATCACCTTTCTTCCTTCATGTTCCCATTTGGGATACTGCAGTAGACTCCCACTCTTGGGGCAGGTAAGCACACCGGAGCTGCTCCTGCTTGGGCTTACCCTAGGCCCCGAGGGATGGCCCAGCGGAGGAGAGGCAGCCTGCAGGCATAGAAAGTTTCTGCTGCCTGCAAGAGCACCATCCTGCATACTGCCCTTGTCAGCAGATGCCAAGGAGCCTCGCTGACGGGCCCACATTTGATCTAAACGGTCCTCAACACCCGGGCAAGCAAGGGCAGCCAGTCCCCAGCAGAGGGGTCCTAGAGGACAGAACAGGACGTCCACAGGGCTGGTGCACAGAGAGCACTTACAGTTTTCCTAACATTCTGACTTCTGCTACTGCCTATCCTGGGGGCAGGTCCCTAAGGGTTAGCTTAGAAGTGTTTGGGGCCATTTTTAAGTTGAATGAAATTGTCTAATAGGTTTTAATTCTTGGTGGGTGAAACTTGTAATTGTTTTGAAAGAGTAGTTACATTTTTTCCATTGCTACAGTGCATCTGGAACGATGGAATTTATATCCTTAAGAACCAAGTCAGTTGACATAAAGGCGAGGAGGGACATAAAGGAGAGGAGGGAATTATCAGAGCCCATCTTAAGCTCACAGGCTCTAGGTCAGTGGCTTCTAAGAAAAAGCAGGACACCTGTATCAGGAATAGATTTGCCTTTGAAAAATGAAACTGTTGGTTTATTTTTGTTGTTTTCTTTACGCCTGATGCCACAGTTAGATAGGTGAACTCTGATTGGAATGTGTCCTTGTCTTGTCACTTGGATAGTTCGAAGGACGGGCTGTGAGGGCTGAGGGGAGAGGAGCGGGCACAGAGCCTGTGTGCGCACCTCTAACATGGGGACTCTGCAGCATTGTCACTAACAGCCTCCTATCCCCTTAGATAGTGACGAGAGGCTGTGAGACTGTGGAAATGACCCTGAGGAGGAACGGGCTGGGCCAGCTTGGCTTCCACGTGAATTTTGAAGGAATCGTTGCAGACGTGGAACCTTTTGGCTTTGCCTGGAAGGCTGGGCTTCGCCAAGGGAGCCGCCTTGTGGAGATCTGCAAAGTGGCCGTGGCCACTCTGACCCACGAGCAGATGATCGACCTGCTCCGGACTTCCGTGACCGTGAAGGTGGTCATCATCCAGCCCCACGACGATGGCTCGCCCCGGAGGTAAGACCTGGGAGGCCCTCAGCAGTGCTCGCTCCTCCTTGGCCTCTGTAGCAGGTGCTGCCCTAACTGCTCTGCAGGGGCCTCAGAAAACGTCAAGTACATCTTCGACCAAAGTTGTTTGGGCATCAACCATTAGAGCAATTTAAAAAGAGCTTTAAAAAAGTTCTCAGTGTATAATACATGATAAATTGTAATTTTCTGAGCAGTTTAATGGGACATTGACCATGTAAAAGCTGAGATATTATAAACTGAGGAACAGAGCACCTGCTTGGTTCACTGGACCATTGAGACTTACGTCTCAGAAGAGATATTCTTAATCAAAGCTCAGCCTTTTGCAAGTTAAATACTTTTCTCTGCGCTACTAGAATTCCTTTTCATAATGTGAAGTCATTGATTATTAACCGGATATTTAAGAAATCAATACCTGTATGTCTGAAGGAATATTGGAACATCAGATCTACTCTGTGTGGTGACTACTCCATTCCAGTTAAACTGCTTCAGGGCATCCTCATGAGCTGTCACGAGAGACATAAAAAGAAGTGGCTAGACTTGGAAGGCTCAGAGTGGATGGGTGGAGGTTGGGAACAGGAATGGAATTAGAAAGTGATCCTGTCCCATTATTAATAGAAAATAATCGTGCTCAACATCAAGAAAATATTAGGCCACAAAGAGAAAGAGTGCTAAGAACAAGCTGTCCATCTGGCTGTAGCCCCACTTTGTGCTACAGTGTCTGGTGGTCCTATCTAGAGCACATTGTCTCCATCTGCATCTCAGAAGGAGTTCCTACAGGCTGCCTTAGGAGCTCTGGCTTGGGCGAGGTCAAGTATACTTGGAATCCAGGCATTAGCTGTGTGAGCTTGGGTAATTCACATGCTCTCTAATACTCATTTAATATCTGTAAGATGGGGATTGAAATGTTGCCTACCTCCTACTGTTTCTATGAAGATTAAATAGGATGATATATGTAAAGCACTTAGCACCTTCTGCCATAATCCACACCCCACACTTTCAGTTAAAAAAAACAAACAAGGGGCCGGCCCGGTGGCGCAAGCGGTTAAGTGCGCAAGCTCCGCTGTGGCGGCCCGGGGTTCACCAGTTCGGATCCCGGGCGCGCACCGACGCGCTGCTTGGCAAGCCATGCTGTGGCGGCATCCCACATAAAGTGGAGGAAGATGGGCATGGATGTTAGCCCAGGGCCAGTCTTCCTCAGCAAAAAAGAGGAGGATTGGCAGATGTTAGCTCAAGGCAGATCTTCTTCACAAAAAAAAAAAAAATTCAGGATATTCATTTTAATGTTCTCATGCCCTAAAAGAAATTCTTATCGTTCAAGGATAGCATGATTACTGTGCCTACTTTCTGGATTTATTTCTGTGGTAACTGAGGACATTCTTTCTACTTTCTCCATCTCCTTTCCTCAGCCTCTAAAACCAGCACTGTCCAATAGCACTTTCTGCAGTGATATGTTCTACAGCTGTGCTGTCCAGAACAGTAGCCATTAACCACATGTGACTATCACACACTTGAAATGTGTCTGGTGCAACTGAGGAAATGAGTTTTTCATTTTAATTAATTGATTTAAGATTTAATTAGCCACATGTGGCTAGTGGCTGCTATATTGGATAGATTAGCTTTAAACCATGATAGTTTTTTAGAAAACAAACCAGTGCTATACCACATTCCTCCCTGGTTAATGTGCACAATTTTGTAAAAGTCTGTTTCTATAAGTTATCTTACCATTTGCTCCCTGCCTGACTTTCTGTGGCCTTGTTTCCTATATCTGCCCAATAGGTTTACAAAATAAAGATTTAATGAGCTGAAATTCCCCTTGAGAGTAGCAGCCACATGTCACGGGAAATATCCAAGATGTTTCTTGTTGCCCTACCAGATTCTGTCCCATTAAATCCATTTGCTCCCCAAGATTCCCATGAATCACACATCATGCTATGAGTACAAAGAAATCAAACACAAAACTATTTTATTAAAAATGAGACTTAGAAATAACAGAACGCAAATCCTTTAGACCTTTGAAGCTAAAATATCGTGTAAGTGAAAAGTCTTTTAAAATAAATTTTGAGCCAGTTAGAAATGTTTCCATATAGTGAGATTTCTTTCTCCCTTTGGTAGAAATATAGATTTGCAAATCTTATGGTGAGAATCAAGTCTGTGTATCTGTCTTAGAGGTCAATTACTACTGTAGAATTAGATGAAAATTACCATGTTCTCCCTTTGGGGTAAAAAATAACATTTCTCGCCTATTTTTAGTTTTGGCTTACTGTTGCTCAGTAAGACATTTTCAAGCTTTCAAAAGATCTGGTTAATAAAAATGTTAAAGTTATCATTATGTTTGGTATTTAGAACATATGATTTAGAAGAATAGAATTTCCTAAGAAATACTGAATTGTTTTTCAGCTAAAACAAATAAACAAACAAAAACTGCCATTTACAAGTTCCGGCTGTTATTTTTTTTTTTATCCAAGGACATGTAATCTGCCCTGGTCTGCACATAATTAATTCTTTCTTTGTTGTAAATGCAAATTCTCTTATTGAAGCTGTTCAAGATGTTTAGAGATTTTGCTTTTGTTTCCTTGAGGCTCATTAATGTCATTCCCTGAAGATACAGATTTTTCTCCTGATTAATCTGAAATAACTGTCTTTTATATTTTAACCTTAACCAGGATTAGAATTAGTTTTTTGCCTGGTGGTAACACTCCAAAACTGGCACGCCTGTCATCCACATTTCTGCAAGTCATCAAGGTTTTAAGCCTAGAATGTATCCTTTAAAATTCTTTCAAATCAGTCTTCCAATTTTCTGTAAATTTGAATTGGTAAATTTTTAAATCTATATTTTGGTGAGTTTGGGATTCATGTTCTGCCTGTGACTGTCTGGGTGCCCTGATAAAGTTACCTGCTGCTGTCAGGCAGCTTCGTATAACAAGAAGTTATCCTTGTAATCACGGTCCTTTGCTTTCGACTGCAATGCGATTATGAAGCATCATTTTAAATTTCGTCCATGCTCTAAGGAAGTGTAGCCTTCTGCAGTATTAGATTTTTTAAGAAACTGTAGAGGAGGCCTCAAAGGGGAAATGGGTAGCACTTAACTCTTTTTGAAAATTAAAATACAAACCTTTGAAGTGAAACATCATTTGGTACCCTTACTGTTATAGCAAAATATACAGAGATGTGCCTCAGGCTGAAAGTACACGTTTGATTTGTGGTGTGGAAAATGACCCCTGTCTTCTTTCACAAATTGGCTCTTAGTGCTTGTCAGGGAGGGGCCAAAAAGAAGACATTATTTAATTGGACATGTGTGTGCACTTGCGTGCGCGTGTAATTTTTTTCTTTTAAGTTGTCTTTAATGTAAAAGCCATGAGGACTACAAAAATGGCCAAATTAATGAATTGCAAGATATTTCAGTCTTATAAACATTGTGAATAATAGAGTGAAAAATACTTCAATTCGTTTTTGCCATTTATCAGTTTGATTTTTGTCCTACAGGGTATCAGTGAGAAATAATTCGCCTCAGAGCCCATCTGCTCTTGTCAGCACTGGGAGAGTCCTGTCATTTGATAGGCTCACTTCTGGTTGTCCGCAGGTCGGAAGGTGTTTGCTTATGACTCAGAAGCTACTGGATTAAATGAAGTCTTTAGTTGGGAGAGTATTTATTTTGAATCAAAAGCCACACTGCGTTTTGAAGTCCCGTTCTCAGTTGAAGTCTCGTTCTCAAGCCTAAGGGTGATGATAATTCAGCTGTCCCTCAGCTTGAAAGGAAGGCAGAGCCCTTTTTCCTTTTCCTTGTAGGGTTCCAGAGAACACCATGCTGGGAGGGTTCCCTTTGGGAATGCGTATTAACTGATCTGGTGCTGGGATTGGATCCGGAGTGAATTCATAGAGGTGTGGGGGATGAGTGGCAAGCAGCAGTTTGGGAATAGCACTCTTCAAATGGAAATGAGGTTTTAAAGGGAGCGAGGGTGTTTCCCAAGCAGACAGTCTCTGTGGCAAAGATGAAGAAGAGTTGTGGAAGACGCTTAATTAAGCTCTCCCTTGTTTCTTCAAGGGATGATCTGGCCCCAGCCCTTAGCCTTCAAAGGTGACTGACATTCTATCAATGTTGTTTGAAGGAAAGCACATCAACTTAAAAGGCTGATATAAAGGAAATAACAACTCATCAGAATTATGCATGAGTTGTTATACAATGTGAGTGATTTAGTAAATATGTCCAATAAAAATGGAAATGAAATTCCTTGCTGTGGTGCATCTGTTTTGTGTGATTTTTTCATACTTTGTTGACATACTATCCAAGACATATTTTTCTATGTAATGCAAAACAGTGGAATTTATCTCATTTGTCATGAATCTAAATTGCTGTTCTCTCGTCTTTCTATAAAATTGAAACTTTATGTTCTTATCTTCTGTTTTGCTTCCTATTGCCTGACCATTCAACTCCCTGAAGTACATAGAGGAGGACATGGAAATAGAAATAGGAAGGAAAACTCAATTTTGTCAGATTAGCAGTTTATATATATAAAAAATAGATAGTGAGCTGAAATCTGGACTAAAGTCAAGTTTTAGATTAGAGTTCCAATTTATTTGTATGGATAAGAAAAATTAGTTATATCTGGTATTGTCTTAAGGGCCCTTCAGTAATGAATTTTAATGTGAACTATGAAAAAAATACAGAACTTGAGGTTCTCCAGGTAACCTGAAGTACGCTCGCTGTTCTAAGTCCTCTGCCCAGATCCTCCAAAATAACGGTCAGACTATTCCCTCACTCCTTCAAGTGAGAACATTGGGTTGTAGAAAGAACATAAGGTAGGTTGCCTTACATTTACTCATGCATTCATTCACTCTTAACTGGCTTGCGCCAGAAACTATGCTGGCTGCCAGGACTATTAAAATGGTTAGGATGACATAGTCTATACTTTCATGGGCTCCTTTTTGTCCATCTGGCGTTCTAAAATATAGTGCTTCCCATTCATATTTTTGTCATTTAAAAATAGTTT